ACGGCAGCTGCTGGGATTTCCTAAATTACCTGACCAGTACATGGCTAGCTGGTCCGTTCGAGGATCTGTGGTGCAAACGGGGAATCACAGAATCACATCACGTGCGCACAATAAACTCGCTGAGGATTTTCACAAGTAAGCATTAGTAAGGATTTTATAAAGGAAGATGTCTTGCATTTCAGTAAGTTGAACGCCACCTTCGCAGGCGATCACCTCGAGCTCTCGCTACTGGAAAAGCTGCGCACACTCGATTTGGAAGCAATGTGTAATTTGCGATGGGAAAATATAAGAACATAAGGTGTACATCAGGTGACCGTTCCTCATGTGATAAAACAACTGATGAACTATCAGAGGAGCTATCGCTACAGCTGCGCTTTTGGTTATACAAATATTCGGAATTTCGGACGAAAGGAGGCCGCTAATTATCCTGAACTAGTGCGGGTAGTGAAGAAAAAGTTCAAGCTTGCAGAGTACGCGTAAATTTATCATCAAAATTCTACACCTGCTGTATTAATCTTACTAAATTATTTCAGTTTGGAACGTCGTAAAAATCTTCCAAGTTTGGAGGAAGAAGATTTAGAAATGGATGACTTTGTCGAGGATGATGTTGAAGAAGAAGGCGATGAGGAAGAAGCAACGAGAATTCTTGTGAAAGAAGAAGGCGATGAGGAAGAAGCAACAAAAAGTCTTGAAGTCGCTAGGGATGAGGGAGACGTACAAATTGAGCCATTCCTACTGCTGGTACATTTGTGCATTTTCTACCAAACCAAGCGAGTATATTATGTGTTCAATTCAGACACGAGACAAGGAAGTTCACAACCGCTAACGCAAACTAAATCATCGCCAAGGAAACGTCCCAGGGTGTTATCACCAGTAGAAGATGTGCCGGAAAAAAGTAAGCAATTTGCGTTATATTTTATAATTCTATCTATCTTTTGATTCTATCTTATGCTACCAGCAGGTTTGATCGGAAGCTCCGTATTGGACTTGAAGGAAAATGTTAGCCTGGAAGAAGGTGGCATAGGGCCTTCAATGCTGCAAGCAGCGCCACCTTCACCACTCAAGCAATTCGATCGACCCCCAACGGATAGCGGTGAGGGACCATCGGTGCGGCTCAACAAGAGGAAGAAAGTAGGGTTTATAAACTAAAATACAAGTTTACGGCGAAACTTAGCGAAGCAAGTGCAGAGCTTTTAATGAGTGACGTGACGAGAGTTACTGCAAGTAGAAACGTTCATAGTGTCC